ATTTCTCCAGAGATATCTGCTATTAATGATTTAGTATATATTTTGTGAAACTTTTTTAATGCATACTTTTTTCTAAAAAATGAGATATTTATACATACTGTATACATAAGGTATTTTTACTTGTTTAATATAGTATAGATGCTGCTCTGCAATTGCTTTTTACACTTAATGTTTTATTGAAGACATTCTTTTATACCAACTTATATGAAAGTCACTTATTAACTTCACACTATTGATTTGGGATGTAGAATTATGTATATTTAATGACTTCCTTCTTAAAGGATATTTAAGTTGAGGAGAGTGCGATTTAATATAGCCTGGTTATAGCGCAAAAAGAAATGCCTACATCTGCTTCATTTACTTGGAGATTGTTTATCCATTTCTCAGAATGATCCAGAGCTCTTCAATTTTCCCTATAATTTCTTTCCACTGGGTTAAGGCATGAGGGCCTTATGCTTAGCCAGAAATCACAAAGTCAACTCAAAATATAAATCTGGAAACACAGATGTACCCAAATGTCTGGTTACAGGACTGTGGAAATGCATATTCACACAAGACGACGTCATCACTCTTAAAACCACAAGCCTGCTGTTCTCTATAGAAACCAGTATACATCCTGCCAACCTGAGGCCCGCCCGCCAGCAGCTGACCATCACCTATCCTTCTTGTCATTCATCATGGCCCATCTTTTCTTCTGTTTGTATCCCTAACACCCACACCAGACACATCCCACTGGCAAAGACAGCAGGCGAGTCAGCCCTGTGGCTAGGAACACAGAGCTTCTGGTGAAGCGCATCCCTCAGAGGGCGAGGCAGGGCCCTGGAGAGCTGAGCCCCAGGCTGCAAGCATCAGCGGGGAGAGGCCTGCGGAGTCCTTAATGCCCTTAGCTTCCGGGCACATTCATTCTTTTGGCAGTAGGTTGCTGGGAACCAGGGGAGAAACCAATTAGAACTCAGATTTAAATACTTTTCAACAATAATAAGCCTTTGACACAAAGAGCTTTTATAAACCTTACCTAATTAGATCCTCACCCAGTTTTGTGAACTAGGGATTATTAGCCCCATTTTATAAATGAAGAAGCAGACTCATAGAGGACAGAGCGTGTGAGGATCAGGGCAGGGTCTGAGCATGGGTCAGCCACCCCTGCTGAGCAGGGCTCCCTACGAGGCAGGGACCTTAGGGAAGTGGGGACTGACTGAGTTTCTCGAACAGGCCTTCCCCTAGAGAATCCCTGTTAAAATAAACTCTCAGTGACTTGGCATCATGGTGCTCTCTGCCATTCCGCTGAGTTGATAATGCCCCAGCATCAGAAATCAGGGCGTAGAGAGCAAACAAAGCCAGCACCCCACCTATGTTCACTCTGTGATGGATGGGTGGCTGGGGACCTGGGAGAACTTGAGGCCTCATGGAGAAAGGCTGTCGGTCAACACCCCTGCTCCTCCCACACTCCCGTTGGGCTCCCTGGGCTCTGAGGTGAAGGACGCTTACTGCTGGATGGAAAACCAGCAAACAAGTCCTGAGAGGTTCAGCCACAGTTTACCTCCCCACTTCTCCCAATCTTCAACACAAGTAACAGACAAGCGTCCTCACAAGAGAGGAGACATTGTGTTCACACTTGCAGAGAATTCCATTGTCACTGTCTACTGTGTCATGTCAAAAAAGCACTGTCACCAGGATCGCTCTCTGGGTCAAGGAAGTCTCTCTGGGTCACTCAAATTGCTACTAGCTGCATGATTTCGGTAGTGAAATTTCTCTCTCTGGGGCCTCAGAAGTCTTGACCAAGATCTTGGAGTTGGTTGTAATGTAATTAATGGAACCTTTAGGTACAAATGAGGTATGTTCAGCTAGAAAAACAAGTGGACCTACTCTTTCATATCATATTCTAATGCCCAAACCGAAAAGACAACAAGTGCACACGTGCTAAGCTCTGTAGCTGTGAGCTGTACTTTAATGAGAGGACATGTCCCTTCAAAATGGTGCCTTGGCTAATTGGGCCGGATTCTTCATATCTGGGGACGGGGTGCTATAAATAAAGCTTCCCCTTGATGCGTAATGGCCTGTCTGCTCTCCAGCTCCCCACGCACCGCTCTCCTCCTAACCTCACCCTGAGCGAAAGCGGCACCACATCCGTCGGCCACCCACCGGCCCGTGAAGGGCGACAGGCAGAGGGCTCCGCACAAAAGCGCCACAAGAAGGCGTCAGGCCACATCGGCGTCGCCAGTGCGCACTGTCCTTTCCCCGCTCCCATTTGAATGTAAAAACAGGCCAATGCCTCGTGCTAAGTTTTCTGGACAGGCATACGGCATGACTGTCTGTAACTTTCCATGGGCCTCCTCGGGTTACCATACATATTAACACACATACCAGCATGTGAAGAAAGGACAGTGGGGGGGTGCTTGGTGATTATTTCTAATTGGATTCACCTGGGAATTTTAAATGCTGGGGATTTAGCCCCCGTTTACAGTAACTGAAGATTGGAACAGCACATGGCGCCTGTCCTTCTGAATGGCAAGTCTCCTTTTTCCATTTAAGAGGAAGGTCCGTCAGCATGTAATGCATTTCAGAGCCAACTGTGAAAATCATTAAGCTATAAAACTATGGACTGGGACGGTGGTGACGATGTTCGACCCTCCGCACTCCTTCGGAGGCAGTCTAGCCTTTACAGCTTCCTACTCAGAAACGGGAGCGCTGCGTCTCCTAAAGACGCTGCTCAGCCGCTGCTCAGTTGTGTTAGGACCATAAGATCTGTTGAAGCGAAGAATTCAGTGGGCATCTGAAACCAGATCTTGCTTCTCTGACTTTTAGCAAGCACACTGGCAATGAGTGAGGCTCTGTGGTACGTGTGTCGGTGTTTCTGAGCATGACATCTCTGTCACAGGCAGCTTGAGAAGTCTCCAGTCTGTTCTCTAAAGACCCGTGGGTTCTCCAGAAATTGGCCAGTCGAGCATCCGACGCCCAGGTCTCCCCTCTAGCCAATCAAATTGGAATTTATTCTCATAGAAGACCTCAGTGAGTTAATAACCCAAGGGCTTGAGCAGAAATCAAGAAAAACTTGGTGAGGCTCTGCCTTCTGGGTTCTAGGATCTATCTCTCCCTGTCCACCTCCTGCATTCTCAGGACCATGCAGACGGGGGTTCCGACCACACGCTGCACAAAGGAGCTGCACATACGTCCCGCCTCACACAGTGGACGTAGCAGATGGCACATGAAGGTGTGGAGATTCTGGGCTTCCCAGCTGAGGCTATAGTACGGACACACGGACACACACGGCTGTGCACACTTGGGAAAGCTAGCCCAGACTCACCGGCTGCAGCAGACACGGGCAGGCTCTCTGACCCAAGCACACTCTTTGCATCTTTGAGACCTTGTCTCTTACCTGCTCATCATGATCCGAGCCTCAGTTCCCCCATCACAGGGCTCAAAACCTGACACAGGCATCTCACTTAGGGGGCACAGGGGAGGGATCTGAATGTTTCAGCAAACCTCTACCATTATGCAATCATGTGCTTTTTTTGTAAAAACTTGAGGACAACAGCTGTTTTTCCCCCTCTAATTCCCAGCCCTGTGAATTCTGTTTCCCTTGCCCTTCCCTCCCATGGCTTCTGCACAGGCCCTCCTTCCCTCATGGGGCCACAAACAGAGACTTAAATCTGGAATATCCTAAAGCTCTTCCCTCCGGGTACCAACACTGTGCCCTACAGCTGTTTGTTTTGCTTCCCTCTCTCTCTTTCCGACTTTGAAAGCTGGCCTCTCTTCCCTCCTGACCTCAGTCAAAGGATTGAGTCTTTGTTTCAAAGGTTTCTGTACTTTCAGAGTCGGGAGAGATGGTGAAAATCACCGCCTTGCGTGAAGATGGGGAAACCAAGGTGAACCAGCTTGCAAGTGACAAACTCATGCTTCTAGCCTCTTGGACTCCTTTCATTTCACCACACAGCTTGCCCCCACTCCCACCCCCCAGGTCCCTTGAATGGTGAGTCACTAGCATCACACACGACCTACTGGACACTCCCTGCCCCCAGCCTGCAGTAAGTGTCTGAGCTCTGTGCCAAAAACAGGCAAAGATCCTACTGACTACCAGCCACATCAACACCACCTCCTTAGCTAATATACTGGTTCTCTCCCAGAGATAAGGCCAAGAGAGGCGAGGGAAAATCCTAGATCCCCTTGGAAGGCCAGGAATGTGTTTTGTACCTTAGAGATAAAGAACTCATAGCCGGAAGCTTGCGTAAGGCACCTGGGGACACAGAGGCTGGTCCCTGCAGTGTCCACAGAGGAGGCATATTTTTACTTCGGCCCATGTCACGAGGCAGTCGCCCTGACCATGCCTCATTAGGCATCTGCATCTTAAGCCAGCCACTTCTTTGAGAGGATTAACTGCAGGTGAGTCACCTTTGGGGGAGTCTGGAGACCAATGACTCTGATTGAGTCACTGTGCCCGGGTCTTCTTTTTGTGCAATGATGCCCCTCCCAACTGTAGGGCTCTATAATTCTATTTAGAAAATGCCTTTGGACTAAGCAACAGGCACCTAAGTAACAGGCATAATCACGAGGGGGCCAGAGCACGAAGCCTGGAGGGGGAGGACACCCCTTTCCCTTTAGGCCACTGGGTTCCACTTAAGGTTTTCTTGCTCTCCAACTGCCTGGTGAGGGCTGAAATTACACAAGGCGTGGGCCAGGCCACGGGCTTAGGGCATTCCATGCCTGGATGCACCAGGGTCCCTAATCAATGCACTTGGTACTTCCTTACTCCCCTTTCAAGGCTGAGATGGAGCCATGCAAATGGCAACTGAATTTAATTTCTCTATTATTTCCGATGCAAAGTGCCTGTTAGCAGGTCGCATCAGTCTGGTCAGGAATTAGATGATCTTGGCAGAAATGAGGTGGGAAAGGTGCCTGAGAATCACCTCCCTCCTGCCCATGGTCTGAAGCCTGGGTCGCCTTTGGCAGGGTACACGAAGGTGCATGAGCCTTGGGTGCGAGCACGGGGGATGACGACTCACGTGGTTCCTTTGGCCTTCTTCACCTCCCACGGACGTGATCACTGTCTCTGAAAAGACCGTTTGTCCAGTCTGGTTGTTGGTGATCTACAGTAGAACAGGCACAGTGAATGTGAAACAGAAGGAACTCTGGGCCAATCCCAGCACTTCCCAACCCCCCTACTTTCTGAAGAGGGGGCATCCGGCCAAGCAGACAGGCTGGCCCCTCCCCCATTTCTTCACTCGGCCAGCACCCCGTGAAGGCCCCCCCTCTGAGCAGTGACAATGGGTGTCACCGTCTGCCTGTCGGGGCTGCTGTGCGGAGGGCCGGGGCAGTCTGTGTGAAGCGCTCAGCACGGAGCCTGTAGCCCAGCAGATACTCAGTGTTAGCTGGTTTTGTCGTTCTGAGGGTTCGTTGCTTGAAACTCAACGTAAACTTTCTTTTCAAAAGCTACAGGTCTGGGTGTCTAATTGAATATCTTTCATGAAAAGCAAGCAGGTTTTAGCTACAGCCACCCCACTCTGGATTCTGGTGAACTGTTTTGTTTCATCAAGAAAGTACTGAAACTTAGCTCCATGAAGGACACACTCAGGTCAAAGACAGATGCCCTAGGATTACTGAAGGGACCCCTCAGATCCAGGAGGGTAAAGGGGGCCGTCAGATCAATGAAGGCATCACTCGGATCAATGGGGTGGCTCTCAGATCAAGAAAGGGGGCAGTTCGATCTATGAAGTGCACACTCAGGTCGATTGAGTTAGTCTCCGGCGATGGACCCCTGCATCACTAGTGTGTGAAGCTCCCCAGGTGAGTCCATGTGCAGCCACCTGTGAGAGCTAGATCAAAGCTCCAGAGAGCTCTAGACACTACCCACTATCAATGATATAAAGCTTCTGAGGACTGGGCTAGGGCTGGGAGGTTTTACAGGCTCCCCGGGTAATTCTGATACACACTGAGGATTGAAAACCAGTTGTGTGTATTTTGCCCTCCAGAGGATTATAGTGAAATGAGGGGGGAAAAATGACTTATTATGTGTGAAACTGTTGAGAAGTACAAGAAAGTCCATGTATGAATGGGGAAAAAGTAAATAAAAGACAAGGAACGATAAGAAAATATAAGTACTAAATATCTAATGATAAATAAAAATAATTTATATTAAAAAAAGGAAGTACTTAAGTAAAAAGAGAGACTTGGCCCAATATTCCTGTCTGTTGTCTGCCTCTGATTCTGCAACCGGGAGCAGGCACCTCAGAGCCAAGCCTTGGAGTCCTGATGTGGAAACCAGGCCATTCCTGCCCCATCAAAGGCCATGTCTAATGTTTAGGTTGATGATGAAGAACAGAAAGGTTGCTGACTCGAGAGCTGGGAGATCTGTAATCTTTGAGCCTTGGCTCAGCTGCCAACAACTGTCTAGTATGCAACCTGGAACAAGTCGTTCCCCTTCTCTGATTCACAATTTTCTCATTTCTAGGTGACCTTTAAAGTTCCTGCCAGCTCTAATATCACAGGAACCTACAGCCAGAACAAAGTGGACACTCCTAGCCTAATTTATAGTAGTGGATCAAATTCCACTTCTAAGGAGACAAAAATCACGTCTTCATCAACATACTTTAAAATTTTTATCTAATTAATTCCTCTCCCCAGCAAAGAGATGATGTCTTCTCCCTATATGCCAGATTTTTACAGGATTAACCAACTTTATGTTTTAAAAATTTCTATGGTCTTGTACATATAGGTTGCTGGACTCCTCAGAGTCTTTATTATACTAATGTGCATTTTTGTATCTGTATGAGGAGAATATATACAATGTTCCCAAATATGTTGCACCACCACTGAGCCCCTCTTTCATGAAGCATTGCACAGGACAGGGCTCCATGGAACCTACTTGAGAACTACTACACTGTGCTGATAACGTAACTTTACTGTAATAGCAACAGTAATAATAAAAGCAACCTGCTGTTGCATAGCACTTTAGAGCTTACAATGAATTTTCATATACTTTAGGGTATTTGACCCTCACAATACTGGAACATTCCTATTTCATAAATGTGGTCAGTGAGGGTCAGCACATATAATACTTTTTCAAAATCACACTAGTTACTGGGAGGCCTCGCACTTAAATATTCTGACATCTACAGGAAGCAACTTTAAGAAGCAGTGGAACCTGTTAACTAATTATTGCCAGAAAGGATGACTTAATAATTGGTTTTAACAAGGATGAAATAATCACTTTTGGAAGCATTCTCCAGTCTTTAGATGAGAATTGCTAACGGATTCTGTTCAGCAGGTGACTCATTCATTTATCTGGGGAGCGCTTCCTTCTGCAGCTGGGCCCATCAGTATGCAGAGGGAGGAGAGCCACATACAAAGGCTACTTTATAGTCAAGGCACTGGTCCGTGAAAATTGACCCCTTCCTGCTGTGTGGCGCACGAATGCTATTGTTTCAACCAAGTCATTACCTGAGCACTTGAACAAAAGTCAGGCTCTTTAGTGAGAGCCTTTGTGGCCTTGCATAGCGGAGTTGAGATGAGATCAGAGGTCAAGCTCTCTGCCGGTCACAACGGAATGTCAGCTCTACAGCCTCTAACAATGATCCTGAATATCTGCACAGCAGCCTCTCTTCAAGATAACAACACAGGCTTACAAAGCCTGCTCTCCAAGTCCTGTCAAAATCACAGTGCAGACATCTCACCCCAGGAGTAGGCCAATGCTATGTTCCTCTAGATTTGCAGTGTTTTCTTCCTCAAGTCAGATCCGGAATGAAACTGCTTGCTTTTCATGCAAGATATTAGACCAAGAGACATGCAGTAGGTTGGAAAAACTCTGCTGCAGAATTTGGAATGGAAACCAGCAAACAAGATGTTTAATTTTGTAGAAATAGAGGCTTTCCCTTCTGAAGACAGAGCATATCACATTTTAGTTCCTCCTAAGGAAACAGTGAAGATGTACTCACCCTTGCATGGACTACAGAACTCTATTTCAACTCTACTGAAACATACATAAAAACCTCGAAGGCACTACTAGGAAAAGTATCTCTCTGTAGACCCTTGTTTGCTTCCTTTTTGCAAGTAACAAAAAATCCCTGAGCATTCCTTTGAAACTGGACTGGCAGGAAGCCTACAATGAAATTTATCGCTTAAATGCAAAAGCAACTTAGATTTTTGATAAATATCTCTCCCCTCTAAACAGCTCCCTCACTCCCTCTGGTTTTTAATCTGTATTGTACCATCCTCATTTGTATTTTTGGCTTGTGTATTAAATATGTAAACAAGACCTTAGGGCTCACATGGGACTAGGCATTATAGAAGGAAGTGCTGGCCAGGACCACCTTTACCTTGTGAATTTCTCGGTGCACGTGGATGGTGTTATTTCCAACCTTGGTTTCTGTGTTGGTCTCATTGTGATAGTTGGCAGGTAAGTCTGCCAAGTTCACTTCTGATGACGTTTTAGCAGCAGCTTCCTCTGCCTCCATCTATTAAATCAATGAATTAAATGAGCAAAATTGTTTTTTCTTGATATAAGTCAGAGTCCATTAAGATAAAAGATCCATGGGGATGTAAAGTACAGCATAGGAAATACAGTCAATAATAACTGTAGTAACTTTGTATGGTGCCAAGTCGGTACTGGAAATATCAGGGGGAACACTTTGTAAAGTGTATGATTCTCTAACCACTATGCTGTACACCTGGAACTAATACAAAATAATATATAAACTGTATGTAAACTGTAATTGAAAGAAATTTAAAAAAAGAACTTCTCTTTTCCTCTTTGCAATTACAAATAATGGTAATAAGGATAGGTACCTTTAATTGAGGACAAGACATTGTACTAAAGGTTTTACATATATTATACCCATAAATCTTACAACTTCCCTACGAGGTGGGTGTCAATGTCCCCGTTTTATAAATGGGGCAACTGAGGCTCAGGGAGACTAGATAACTTTCCAAGACTCTCAGTGAAGGGCAGAGTTGGGATTTGAGCATGTTCCCACTGAACAGTCTTGGCCCTGTACAAAGCTGCTGGTGCCCTGCCCATCCCCTCATGGCCCAAACCAGAGGGGGTCACCCGCATTCAATTCCCTTACAAGCCAACAACCAACTCTGTCTCTCTTGAGGGTATCCTCCGGTTGCAGAAGTGTGCTCAGTCTGCATGGGCCCCAAGTGCTGGGGAGTTAACACCCAGGAACAACCCTCAATCACTGAGGGACAGGTTATGGGGGTAAGCACTTCAGTCCCTCTTCCCTCAATGGGACAGTCTCTCTCCAAGGATCCCCGGTAGGACTGAGCCCCAGTTGGCCCCAGCAGTAATCTCTTCATGAGCGCACTCTTTATTGCTTTTCTTCCCTTCCACCTCACTCTTCCACTTTCTCCTAGTGTTTCTGGGATAACTTTCAATATAAATTTTTTGCTCCCAAACCCTTGTTGCAAGGTCCGGCACTGGTGGTGGTAGAGGGCCCAAACTAAGGCAGCCCCTTGCCCGCTGCAGGTAGGGCTACAGTTTTGTCTCCTTCTCCACTCCACCTCTTGGGTATAAGAGGCCCTTTGCAGAGGGTCAGTTGATTCACATCTGCACCCAATTCCCTCTTCCAGATTTATGTGCCCGCCCCAGCCCTGATGAGTGGGCAGTTGACAACAGACCCATTCACAGCTGATTGGACTCAAAGGGAGGCCACATCATGGAATAGTTGAGCCAACCAGATACTCTCTCTAGGAATTAAAAGTGAGAGACTCAAAGAGAAATTTGAGTTGGTGGTTGGTAATTTTCCAACACTGCTATCTTTGACTCTGGGCTATTTTCATTCCTTAAAACTAATCTTCAAAAATATTTGTCTTAAAAAAAAAAATCACTGTCCTCTATCTCCTTAGGTACTTGACGAGGCCCCTCTTTTCCTTCCTCTTCCAACCAGATTTACCGAGCCAGGGATGGATATGGGAAAAGAATTTCCATGTCTCAAAAGCACTGAACTGGAAGTGTGAAGAAATTCGGATAGGCACAAAGGCTCCAATGAATGAACGGGGCCTTGGTCGTGACTGCTGTGCTTGACCCTGAGACGACTGCTGAGATGTTTAAAGTTGATTACTGGCTGCATCATCATCATCATCATCATCATCACAGTAGTCTCCATGTCTGGGCATCAGCTGTGTGGGAGCCATCGCACCAGACACCTACCATGTCCCCTTCAATATTCACAGTGACCCTATGAGGAAGGTGTTATTACCCTCATTCTGCAGATGAAGAAAACAAGGTTGACAGAGGTGAAGGGACCTGCCGCAGGTCACCACACTGTTAGTAAGTGGCAACGCTGGGATTGGAACTGAGGTCAGTCCGACTGCAAGCTGTGTGCTTTCCCAGCACAGCATGTGATTCTGCCCGGCTGGCTGATTCTTTTCCCAGGGAGATAGGAAGATGATTATGATGGTCTGTAGAAGCAAGTCAGGGGTTCAAAGAAGAGAGAAGAAAGGCTCCCAGGAGCAGGAGGAGGCATGACTGAGGTCTCAAAAATGGGTAGGATTTAGACACAGAGGAACTTAAAGATGGCAAAGCTGTGGCAGCTGGACAAGACTGGTGTGTGCTGAGGGCTAGAGCAGAGGGCGCATGCTGGGCACAGGATGAAGGAGAGAGCGGTCAACAGGCAGATGCAGGGGACAGTCCTAAAGCAGAGGGCATTGCTCAACCAGGAGGATACAGCAGAGTCATGCCCCAAATTTTAAATATGTATATGGACCCCCTACCAGGCCTGCCATATTAGAACTTCTGGGGGTGGCACCTCAGATATCAGTGAGCTTCTTGGATGATTCTGAGGTCCGCCCTCCCTCCCACCTGCTCCCAGGTAAGAATCTCTGCTCCAGGCAATAATGGGGAGTTCCAGCAAGTTCGGAAGACTAGTTAGGAAACCGTATAGAGTCCAGAGAAGGAAGAGAAGAATCCATTCATGGAACTGGCTAGAACCAGGTCTGGGGTTGGAAGTTATAGCTGGGGAGGGGACTTCTAGGTGGCAGAGGCTGCAAATACTTCTAGAAGGACTGACCAAGCCACTGAGAGCTGGCCACCGGATTAGCTGCCCCCAGCACCTTCAGGGTTCAGGGACAGCACAGTGGAAAGGGTTCTGGAGTCAGGTAAGGTGGGGCCAAGTCCTCACTCTGCCACAAAGCAGAGGAGTGACTCTGGACAAGATGACAAATGTCTCCTAAACCTCAGCTTTCTTTTTTGTAAAATGGGGGGATGATCCTACTTTGCTAAGCAGATGTCAGAATTAGGATCACAAAATCCAAGTGCTTGGTCCAGTATTTGCCATCAAGCGAAGGTGCAATAAACAGCTACTTTCACAATACTGCCTTTGAGAAAGCAGTTTTAGAAGCTAGTTTGCCGGGGAATGTGTTGGGTAGATGTGAAGAGAGAAGATATCTATCATGTGTTTGAAGAGTTTGCTAACAAATGGAGAAGAAATAGAATGCAGTTAAGACAGGAGAAAGGGTGGCAAGGAAAGGGCTTCATTTTTTTGTGTGTAAGTGAGAAAGCCTGGCATGTTTAGTGACAGAAAAGATAGAGCTAGAAGAGTGTAGGAGACTGGAGATGCTACAGAAGCGATTGCCCAGGAGGAGACAGGAATGTTTTCATGTTTTTAAAATTCCCATGGGAATTGGAACACTCCAGTTTTGCTTTCAAATAATTGACAAGTTACCAAATCTAGAGTTTGCTTTGGGCTGAGCAGATAGTCTCCTCATAAAACCTCCCTCTCAATCAGTGGTTATTTCAACAGAATGAGCTAACAGTTCTTTAATGGCACCACGAACTCAAAGTACAGTTTACAATGGAAATTTCAACCACAACTATGACGGCCACTAGCAAGGAAAACTTAGGCCTGAAGCAATAGGACTTGTTTCATAGAGGAGGAATGTGAATGCTATTTCAAATGGCATTTGTGGTTGGTTGAATCTGTGTCTGTTAAAGGGGCACAGTAGGAAAAACTGCAGAGAGAAATCCAGGCTTGGTATTGGGGTCCTTTCCAGGAACATTCTAAATCATGCCAGTTACAGATGAGGCAGTGAGCGCGCGGGGGTGGGGGGTGGAGTGGTTTTATCCTCAACATACATTTATCAGTAACATAAAATAATAAGACAGAAAAATAGGAACAACCTGGAATAAAGCATTTGAAGATTTGACTCCCCCAATAATGATCATACGAGTGGAGTTAACTTCATCTTTCCCCCTTAGAGAAATCCACAGCTTGAGTCAGCTGGAATATTAAAATGTGAGTAAGTGACTTGAAAGCAGATTCATGATGCAACTACGTAAACAATTAATACATCTGGCCATCCTTTTGGTTCTTTCCCGGGACAACAAGTAAACAGCAACTGTCCTGTGTTTATGAGACTTAAGGGGCCTTCTGGCAGCCTCTTTAAAGAATAATAATAGCCACAAGCATTGAGAATCTATAATGTGTTGGACACGGTGGTCCTTTGTTTTTATTCATAATACCATTCCTAATACTATTAATGTGATGACAATAATGGCCATTATTCATTGATAACAAACAATCTCCCTTAATCCTTACAACCACCTCATCGGGGCTGACTTACACTGATTATACTAAACCCCACTTTAGATGGTCAGATAACTTACTACACTGCATCCTCTTATTTAAATCTCTCCTTTACCCTAAGGCGTGGACATTTCCTCCATTTCAGAGCCTGGATGCCACCACTAGTAAGTGGCAGAGCTGATATCGGATAAAGGAAAGTTGGTCCCCACGGCCCATTCTCCTGACACCCAGGGGCTCAGCCTCTGTCCCGGCTGCTAGCGAGGACACTCTTTGGGAAACCACCACTGAATGGGGCGCCAATGTCTCCCCTGGTGGCAAACTTCAGTGAGCCCATCTGCACAAGCCAAACAGAGCCACCTCTGGAGGAAGGCTGGGGCCCAGGCAGAGCCAATGCGGGCAGTTCCCACAGAGCGGGCCCTGCCATTAAGGTTCCGCTGGGCCCCAAACTGCTCTGATTGATGAAGAGCCTGAAGAACCCCTGCTGCTCCCTCATCTCCCTCACCACAGGGAGGACCATGCTGCACGGACAAGTTCATATTGAATAAAAACAGTGTTGACCTAGTCAGTTTTACTGAGAATCTGTGTGCAGGAGGGAAAATCCTAGAACCCAGAGAAAGAAACCTTGAGGATCACGAACTCGATTTAATTTGAAGGTGCAGAATTAAGAGACAGTGGGGCCTGACCCCCCTTCCTCTTTAATTGTTCTATGTCATGGTTCTTGTGCTTTCATAGGAAACAGAAGGTCCGTGGGTTTTGGAATCTGGCCCATGCCGTGAATGTTCAGGTTCTGATGTCCATGCAATCGCCCCCAATCCAGGGTCCCCCTCACTGCAAATTCCAGGCTGACTGTTATGGAAGGAAGGGGTTATATCCCTGAACTACACAAGGCAGGGAGCAACTTCTCCTGCTCTGCAGGCCGGAGCCAGCACTGGAGGCTTTGTCCAAATGGATGTGCACACACCTGACCCATTAGCCTGGGCATCTGGTCTCTTACTAGCTCCTCTCCAAAGACAGGCTGCAGCAAGAGTGAGGCCCAACAGTGACTATGCCCACCCACCCCAAGTGGCAGAGCCGGGCCAGCTGCACCTTCTGGCCTGGCAGCCCTGGCAATGTTGTGTACCCACCATAGGGGATGCCATCCACAGTGTCTG